GATGTTAACTTGGTCCTAGCGGCTGTCACTATTCTAGACCCACCTCTGCCAGTTTACGTGCTTCTGTTTTGGCTGCTCCTGCTGAAAAGCCGCAAGGGGCATGAAAGACCGAAAGAGAAAGACAGAGTGTGCGCCACCAAAATCCGTAAATGCGAAACGCCGCCACCGTTCGATATTTCTTCTTCTCGACGTTTCTTGACCAGCTTGCGGCCCGCCTGCCTCTCTGCGATAAATTCAGCTACTTTAGCCTCCTCTTTTTCTCCCTCCGACCTCCATGTCTTCTCTGTAGCCAGCCGGGGCCCTCAGATCGAGTGGTATAGTTACGCGGACGCAGAGCTAAGGCAGCATGGAAGCAGAAACATCAAGGTCAGCCCCAATAGCAGCACCATCAAAAATGCTGTAAGTTAGTAGCTATCGGAAACAAAAATGGCTGCTGCCACCGCCGACTGGCATTTTACTACTACCCGATTGGTGATGGTCGCTGGAAGCAAGCGGTCAGTGTGTCTCGCTCGGCACCCTTCATCTACCCTGTGCAGCGATGCGCGTGTGGCTGCGTCGGCAAATCGTGCAAGGCCGTTGTCAAGCCGAAGCAAAAGACAGAAGACTAAGCAAGCAAGGACGACGCCTGTAGATGTGGTGGATCGGTGCAGCAGGCAAAACTGTATCCGAAAACTGTATAGTTTTACATAAAGAAAAAGTAGGTTAGATATCGGCGCAAAGGGTTTGGGAAGATATCTGATCAGTCTCTTTCGTGCTATGGCTCTAGCATTCGGCAGCCGTAACGGTTGCAAAGGCTGTAACACCAGTCTTTCCCGCGACTTTAGATACCGTGCTTATGCTGAGAATCACAAACAAAGTAATATCCAACTAGAGCTACAATTTGGAGCCTCCTGTCGTGTCGTTTGTTTTGTTGGATAGTTTGTCCAGCTAGTTGCCTCAGCCAGGTGTAAACGACAATATAGTTGGCACCTTTCTGATTGGGAAATATGCCAGCTTGCTACGAAGACATGTGTAGGTGGAGAAACGAGACTCATAGATTAGTAATACGGGCGACCTAGCGTATACGAATCAGGATCAGTCAGGTTCTGTTGGAATTAGGCCTTCCGAATCATCTTGTCCTATCTGGCTTGTTTGCCTGTGCGCAGTACGATTTCTGTCCCAGCTTATTCAACGTCTATCCAATGTACGCCTGTATACACCTGGTTACATAAGGCCATAAGCAATAATGTTGGTTTCGCCGTACTCCAATGCAGGACACACTATCGGCGATTTGCAACCGACACGCACCATGCTGTTCTAACTATGTAACTGCTGCCTACGCCGCCAGGCAGATTGTATCGTTAAAGGTTAGTTGAATGCTGTATATGGTCAACCAAAAGAAGGCCGTTTTAACTGGGTAAAAAAGGACACAGGATGACTAGTCGACGTGCAGGGCCGCCACAGCCGCTCTACGCAACGAACGAATAACAGAAGGTTGCTGATATTTACCATATATTTGTAGACAACGCGTCAGCAGAGACTGGTCCTTCTATAAACAAGTTTGATAGTTCTAGCCACTTAAGATTAGTACTAAAATCACGGTACAAGAGCAACTTTTACCTGCACAGAATACTGTTTTTATAGCTCTTGTGTCATGTTTGTAATATGTATAACATACTACTCTCTAGAAACGCAAAGGCCGAATGAAACAAATGATTAATTCAGACCTTTCCGATATAGTATAATACCATTGGAGTCGAGGGAAATAGAAAGCATCAAATTCACTACGTCATAGCGTCATTCGGCAACAGTTGCCGTCTGCTCGTGCCGAAGTCGCGCAACAGATGACACCTTGTTCCCATCCTCATCACCATAAGGTAATGTTAAAGAAAGACGTGGATCTTCACCCGTCGTAACGCTCAATGTATGCATGTGAACGTGTGTTGGAATGGAGTTGAATGTGCGCATGTTGACCTAGAGAGCGTTAGATTGAGAGCTACGTAGACTATAAGTAAAGGATGCCTATACTAAGATTATTAACGTAGAAAGATGGATCTTACCCCCCAAAAAAATAAGTAAAAAATAAAAAATCAGTTCTTACTTTTTAGGCATCATCTACTACGACTTGGTGCTATTCAAGGTCTCGCAAACTTTAACAGCTTCTAAATACATGCTACCAAAGATCTCTCGAATGACAGCTAAAAAAAAACACTGACAGCTTTTTTTATTTGCGTGAGACAATGTATTTCGTCTATATTTCATTGTCTACTTCTATATAACATCTTAATTTTCTTTAAATTTGTGTTTATTTTGAAAAAGACGTTTATTTTTCTCATAACGAAGACTAGATAACGTTAAATTAACTGCTCAGCCATATTGACTCCAGATTGCTACACTTACCATAGTTGGAACAGATGTTTTTAAAGTACAATTTTAATCTAACTAAGCAGCATGGACTCTGATAAGCATTGGCCACACAGATGAGACGTACATGAATGTGTTAAGCGAAACAGTTGCGACCCTTGTTAGCGTGGTCGAAGATTTCAGAGGTGTTTCTAAAACTGTAGGGATTAGGTCAAACGATTTGTTCGTTCCTGTTTTTACGTTGCCATGTTCTATCGTCACCTTCCTCACTTTACCGGTTTTCTTACCCAGTTATTGCAAGAACCTTTTCTGTTCAGCGGATAGTCTGTACCCTCTGGAAGCCCTTTGTTTATTTAGACAACGACAAAACATATATGCACAGACACATACGTCCAGCCAGGTGAGTCTGGCAAAGTTGGCGCTGTACTTCTACCCAAAAGTAAATATTTGCACGCCGTCCGTCCAATGGCCATTGAAGTCCTGCTAACGTAACAAAATTAGTTAGTCCCATAGACGGTGGTGGCGATTGCAAGAGTAGCAAAAGAAACGGTGCCAACAATGTAGCGTCAACGGTCGTGCTGTATATTTCGTTTTAAGTTTCATTTAGTCAGCTGGCAGCATTGAGTTGCCGTTGTTCCTTTGAACACTTATTTTTTTTGTCAGGAAAGCTGTTAAGTATAACTTGCTACTAATTCGCCAACGCTACGTTACAAGAATGTGATAAACCACGGAAAGGATATGCAGGATTTGGGGGATAAGAAGGGCGAGAAAAAGCAGTTGGACTGATCAATTCTCTACATGAACTCAAAAACGACGATCCACTCAATCAGGACTCTTTTCTTCATACAGAAATTTAAACTTTTTTTTCGGTCAGTATTATCAGTTCGATCAGTAACAGAAAGAACAGCTGCCCGATTGCCGTTGCTGCCTGCTGCCATCGTGACCACCAGCGTTGTTTCCCGCGAACGGAGCAAATTTTTATCCTAAAATCTTTAAGGCCGTCCTTTGCGGCTTCGTCGACTGGGCCAAGGTCCCAAATTAGACGAATGGCCTCGTCGTCCATTTTTCGCTTGTTGCGCGATTGCTCTCGATTCTTTTTTCTTGTACCGGGATTTGCGGCTGCTGACTGCGATACAAAGATGAACGCACTGACGCAAAGCATGGATCAGCGTGGCGGGTCATTGTTCAGACATTAAGCCCCTGCACCCAGCTATGGCCTCTAGAGAAACAGCCGGTTCATTTCTCGAATGAATCAACGAGCAGTAAAGAAAAACGAGAATAGGATGGAGCAAGATATATCAGCGATTGATCGTTGCAAAAAACTACTGCTATCGTTGATATGAAGGGTCGCGGAACAAGCGAGGAGTAAGCTGAGGAAAGACTAGCACGAATACTGAGAAAAAGGTCGCCTGGTAAAGCAGGATATCCTAGGACATCGTTTTTGATACTGGCCGTTTCGGTGTTGCGTTGAATTACGCAGCTATCAATATGATAGCGTATCTATCCGTCGGTCTCTCTTTCTCCGTTACACTTGTAGTTTTTTTATTCGAGGCTGACCGCTGAGGAAGAGGTTAGCCGTAGGCAGTATATAATTGCAAACTCATGGTTGTTTGGTACTTGAATAGGAGTAGGGCATAAAAGACAGGCATTTGCTTGTCTTTTATGCCCTACTCCTATAAAAGGCTTGCAGCTGTATTCAATGAACGGTGTTTCCAGTAGAATACAATAACCAGAAAGTGTTCGGAAGGTCGTGCGACCTTATGGAGTTCGAAAAACTACCCAGCTCCTTATAGGATTGTGTGTCCTTTCAGAGCCGACTTTGTCTCAGATAACGCTATTTTGCTATTCAAAATACCCCTAATCTGATGAATACTATAAAGGTAAATCGGAAATCTGCAGAATTAATGTGACAATCACATCGTTATTTTATTGGAAACATTAAACGGTGACCGACAGCAACTGCTCATGGTAATACGAACCTCGCAACATAATGTAGGAGAGCAGAAAATTGTATAACGAACAAATATAAAAGGATGTAGGAAAAGACCCACGCGTGTCATTAAATATTCACTCAAACGAGATTACAAAGGCGTAAATCTAAGAAGTGTTTTTCTAGATAACACTTTAAAGCACTCCAAACAACAGTGAAGAAGTCATCATAGGGAACTGTTACATCATCAAATAGCTTCGACAAATAACAAGTATTAATAAGAATCACAAACAGTGAAAAAGAAGGCCGCTTTGCAATTGAGAAAAAAAAACGAATTGTGCCATCTTCGAAGTAGGAAAAAGATGGCAGAACAGTTAGACTGGATCTGTATGTAACACAATTCTACATCATGTATTTATAGTTGACTGCATACTAAATTTGCCAAGGTAGCTATTGTTTTTTTTTAGATTCACTAGTTCTATTTACATGAGGCACGAAAGCACAAGGAATCTAACAATGACGGCTAACGTGTTACAGTTTTTCCGTTGCTAGGACTATCCTTAAGGTTGTCTTCCACAAATAGATAAATATCGTATGTTTTGTCGAGGAAGTCCACGAAGCCTCAATGGTACTGGTGACACGTTTTTCCCGTGCACACGCTTAATTTATTATACTTTTACTGTGCATGCATTGCTATACTACATACTATTGTTAGAACACCAACACGCACTGCTTAATCGTGTATGTAATCGTTTATTTATACATTATATCGATAATACATTCGGCTAGAGACACTAATAAACATTTAGTGTGTTTTCCGTGCGCTTTCTTTTCTGGAGATGGGCATAATACAATTTGCGTATATACAACAGCCACTTCAGTTATGTGAAAGTCAGTCACTACCCCTGAAAGGGAAAGTCGTGGCCGAATATTGGCAATCTGTGGCCTTCGGCTTGATTCTTCTTGCTAGCTAAAGCTATGCTACTTCGTTTCTTCAATTCGCAGAGCAACAACGCTTTGCCGGCTATTACGCCGCGTCCTACAGCAGACGGGTGACGTTCCTATACTTGTCACAGCAGACTTTCTTCCTTACGTGCATTCTCTCTTCCTATTTCTCGCCTTTTTTTTCTCTCCTTCTCTTTCTTGCACTTTCCCTTCGTAGTCAGCACAATGTCCTGGTCGGGCGCCATCGCTAGCGTTTCCCCAGTTAATTTATATTTGTTACAAAGCTAACTGTACAAAAAAGATTCTTATGATTTTCATCTTTATTTCCATCCTTCGCTCTCTTGTTGCATTTTTCTGTTCTTTATGTTAGTCGGTTTTCCCGCACCGTTTTGATACACTCCCCACATTCACACGTACATCACGGTTTCATCCACTCTTTCTTGCCCATACCCTTTCATTTGGAATGCCTCTTGTTTTATTTCATCCAGCTTTTCATTTCATTATCAGCACTTTTTGACCCACGCTAATACTTTTGGGTTTTTTTTATACATACTTCATACATACACTACCATACAAAATTTACATATTTTTTGTCGTGTTTTGTTATTTGTTTCACCTTGCCCACCTCTTATCCGTCCCCCTCCCTGTTCATGGAAATATTTTTCGCGTGATCCACGGACGCTTGTACGAGACTAGCCGCATCTTTTCATCATTTTGTCGAACTCCTTTGTTTGCTTATTTGCTTTACTATGTCTAACAACAAGGCGTTTGTCAGAAGAACATAATGCGCCTTTACTAGCTACGATTGAGCTCATCAACATCATCGTTCTGCTAATCGTCATCACCGCCATTACGATCATTACCCGTTACTTTTATCATTATAATTATGCTCACCATCAGATGTAGCCGTTTGGATGCACTGCTTCTTCCTCCGGACCGGTGCTGCAACTTTCCTTACAGGTATAATTTTCCGATTGTTACTATACGTTTCTTCTCTTTACCTTTGTGTCAATCCACCCTTCCATAGGAAGAACATCCAAAACTCCCGTATATTCATGCCAGTCGTGCATTCCGCAGAACTGTCCAAAAATTTGCACAATAAATACACCACTTCTTAATTATATCATGTACTACCTTTTTAGCGCAATTAAAATCACCTACATTTTTATGTTCGTCCCCTTTTTGCCAAATCGCACATTATGGCTGCACTAAGTAACCACGTGATAGCATCAAGCAGCTACATAAGTTTACCTCATTTTTTCAGTTTTTCCTAAATCACACTGCAGTTCGTTTGCATGTAAGTTATGCCTTTTAGGTGATTTCTGCAGTGTCGTTTCTCTCCATCCAATTTCATTCTCGATCTGGAATTGTGCTCCGACTTAACTTCGTTTCCGTTTCTATCTCAGGACCTCAGGTGGCTGCCTTCCATTTAGTATAGCGTAGCCTCACCGCCTTCTACAAAATATGTTTTGTACAATTTACAAGCTGCGCATCGTAATAATCAGTCGTCGTTCCCTTTCACCTACTATGATTATTATTTTATTTTCCCTATTTCTCGTTCTGTTTTTCTCAGGTTTTTTTTTTTAATATAACACGTGTAGTTTTTTCTTCATATTCGGCCCGCGTGCATTTTGGATATTTTACTTGGTTGTCAGTATTAGTGGCTTCTTGTTGCATTTGAATTCTGGCACCAAATTAAGCCTCCAGTCTCTCTCGTTCGATCGATCGATCGATCGAGTGTGCAGAGATATGTTCTCTCAGCTACTTTGACTTCGCTTCTGCCGCATACAGTCGTACTGCCACTGATCCTTGTGCTTCCGTCAGTGTCTCTTCTGCTGTCGCTGACAGCGGGACGAAAGCCGTCCGCTAAATCGGACAGAAGCAATTTTTCCGCAATCTCTCCTGCCGCCGACTACACCCGCTTCTGTCATCTCACTCTGAATTTCCTAAGCCGCGCGAACTTTGCCGAAATACTCCTTCTTCAGGCGGGGAATACCCCCTGAATACCGTTCACCCTAGTTCGGGTTGTCCTTCATTTAGTTACACCTGGGTACCGTCAGGTGCCACAGGCTCCTGAGCCTCGGGAACGGTGCTTAGCACTGACGGAGATCTACAATGGAGAAACAGAAAAAAAGAGGACAGTTTTAGATTTTTATACAAAAAAAAAGAAATGCTTCGAATTGCCCTCCTCCTCTGTTTGCTTTTCCATTCAACCGTCCTGATTTAGCTGAACTATAACGGCAGTGGCGCAGCTCGTAACGTATCCTCGGAAGGCTGACGCAGCCAATTCTATCTTGCTGCTGCTACCAATGCTGCCATCGTAGTTAGGCCTACGGCCACTGGCGTAATACCTAGAAATATATCGGAATTACAAAATCTTTCACCTTCAATGGAAGCTCAGACCTTACTCCTATAGAAATATACTCTTTAGACAGATTGTAGATACCCATTATAAAAAGGAAACAGTTATTTCGTGTTGCCAAGATACGTTACCCTCTAGCACCAAGTGTACTCGTCACTAAAGGCTTCGGGTTTAGACTGAGTAGATGGCATAGAGTTAGTGCCGTTACAGTTGAGGCAGAGTAGAGCCAGGGAAAAGGGCTATGCTAAAAGCCCTACTCGGGCAGAGGCAATTTCTTTATTTGAACCACTAAGCTTAACCGACCCCACCTCTATTTTGAAACCCCAGCCGAAGCAAGTCACAACATCCAACCATCAAGCAAAGGCTTGCCGCTGAAGGATCTTCATGTACAGACGCTGTTTCTTGGTAAGAGACAGGCGGTTACGCCCAACGCTTCGTTTAGACGAGGCTAGCTAGTCGAAACAATGAACAGACCACTGGCTGATGCAACCGCTGTTACTGCCCCACTGTACACTAGAGTATCGGAATTCGTTTATAGATCTATCTGACTTTTAGGCACTTGCCGTCCGTATTAGCAATCTACAAGACAGCACACATACTCACAAAGACAGGTTTCTACCAACCAAAAAGATGTCAACCTATCTACAAGACATGTGCCATACCCACGGAACGTGCCCTAGTCCAACATGGTGTGGCGTGTTCCTTCTAATGGTCATGGTGCGACTACGTACGTAAAGCAGCATTTTGGCAGCATTTAAGACGAATCGTTACTTAATGTATGTCGAATTATTAACCCTCTGTCATATTTTACCTGAAGTACGCAGACGGATGATCATTCTGGTCGACGAGCAGGTCTGGCGAAGCGAGCAACGGGGCTGTACTCGAGCTTTGCGATATGCTACAATCCTGCACTTCGGAGCCGGGGGTTGCCGAATCGGCTCGATATGCACCGCTACTTACGAGGTCCGGATCTTTGTACGAAACTACCCCAGTAGGCATCTGAGCCTGGCCTCCGCATAGATCAAGCGATCTGAAAGAAGAATATTGTCCCCTGAACAAATTGTGCCACCGCATTAGCAATCTGTATTATTTACTAATATACTTAACCTTGGACTATACTATATATACAAATATGTGAAGCTCTGACCCTTTTTCTATCGTACTAGAACATTTTTTTAATTGGGCAGTGTGCATGCAAAAACAAATTTCTATGCTAAAATAGAGCGCATTTAGCTCGTCTACCGGACAAAAATTCTGGGGCGTGGGTGCGTCATATTCAATTGTCGTCGTGCTTTGTCATGTCTGAGATTGGGTAGGGCACTTATCTGCTATCGCCTAATATATGTTGACAGGTCTTACTGGCGCCGACTATTGGAAACGAAATGTGCAGGCATACCTCACGTTAGATTGGTTCATCAGGTTGAGTGGTCGCAGACTGCTAAAATCTTTTGGCATCTGGCCTGCGAATTCAGCCGGACTTAGCGATAGCGGCCTTCGATCACGAGGCAAGGTTGCGCATGCTGGCAATAGTGGCATTGGAACAGGGATAGGACCACCGCACGACGCCAGGCTGCGCCGGTCTCGGCAACAATACGGGTTGGCCGCATATAACGAACTCGTGCGCATGGCTGAAAAAATTTAATGGCAAAAGAGTGAAACAATGGAACGTATTTCACATATATATATATATATATATATAAATGTAAATTGCCGTAGATAAAGATATTAAATTCAAGTCTTTTAAAGCGGCTCAGACGGACTCTGATGAAATCAGAATCCGTCTGACACTTTTAGTCTGCTTCGTATTCGTTCGAGAGTATGAACCGCATTGTCAGCGACTCATTCAGTTGGAGTTGAGTCGGTTTGTTTAGCAGTAATAGCAGCGTTGCCGCCAACGCCTCTAGTCACTGTCGCTTCTTTTCCGTTATTGACTTAGCGTGCATCAGCGATATTGGACAAAGAGTAGGACTGAAACCGCTGTAAGAGATTACCCCTTTCATTCCCGGCCTCGAAGCTTTTCGTGGCCCATATGCGCTGGCGCAACAAAGAGCCGGTCTGGACCGATTTACCGGCCTCAGTTAATAGGGGGCGGCAAAGTCACCGGTTCGAACCAGCCAGCTGTTATAGGCTCAATATCAATGCGGTGACGGAGTTATAGCAGCCATCGTAAAATTGTATATATTGTACGAATACGCGCTCTCGCGAGTAAGCACTACCGCAAACTACTACAAACGCAGTCATTGTTCACTGTTTACCGATTGTGACTCAGCGAGCAGATCGTTACCTAGTCGTATTTCCGCGTTGCCTGCTAAACTGACACAACAGCTGCAAGCGCACTATGTATCAGAGCAGCAATTAGCTGTTGCTGAGAAAAACCGTATTCGCTGGAAGTCCGTCCGGAAGCTATATTGCGCATAGGCAAAGATGACAAAAGATGGATGACAGTCGACAAGAAAAACTCCAACGACCACAAAAAGACGACATCACGGAGAGACTTCATATTAGTGGCCGACATCAAGTATGATACTGCATTGTCCGAACGAGCAGCATCAGCACAGGGATCGGCCGTGGCAGCAGCGGCAACAGAACGATGCCATCAAGGGCAGGCGGCGCTACCAGATCAACTCGCGTAGTAACAGTAGTGGTTTTTTTTATCGACGCGGCCGCTGCTGCCGTCGCGGTACTTTCACAGCTACCGCTGTCAATGAAGACCAAAAGCAGCAAAGACTACGATGAAAAGGGGCATGTTGATGGCAAAAAGGAGCATGCGGGCAGCGAAGAAGCAATAAAAAAAGACGAAGAAGAGAAAAGAATTGTTGCGGCTAATAAAGGGAACGACATCGTTCTCGTAAATGAGTCGAAAAGGAGCTTCACTTATACTGAAACAACTGGAGGAAAGGATGAAGTAAAAGAAGCCATGGGAAGAACAGACGACCGGAATGACGCCTTACGCGTTGAGTGAAGTGGATGAGCAGTCGAGCGTTGGTGACGACGATGACAAGGACGATTGACGTTGGGCCACTGTCCTGCCAGGTCCCTCATGCTTGGCCTCAGCTCTAAACTATCCTGACAAAACAATCGCCAGATTTTCTTCGGGTGAGGATTGCTTAGTTTCTGCTGGAGCCGCTCATTCGATACCGTGGGTAACGGCTACCCTGGAAACTTGCAAACCGACCTAGCATCCTGACGGAAGCTTAAACTAAACAAGCTTCCTAGTGCCATTTCGTACAGCTGTACTTTCGTGGGGTCTACCCCACGAATGAAAGCTGCTTACTTCATACAGATGTACTCATATGCCAGACGGCCTTTGCCAGTTGCAGAAGCAATGCCACTATTGTATTGAACTATTGGAGACGGTTATCGACAGACGGTTGCTGTTGCTGCTGCTGCTGATGCTTCCAAGAAAGGGCCATCTTCTTATCCTGTTGAATCTTATTGCTTCCTCTTAGAGGAAGTCTCGTTCATTCCCAGTGTAGCAGTCGAAGCTAAAGTCGGAACGCAAGTGGTAGTTGAAGCGACGGCCACACTGGGATGCTATTTCTTCTCCCCCTTTTTCATTTTTGAACTTCTTTTGCTCTGTGTGTTCGACACTTGCAAACTGCTCTACTAATATGTTCGTTAGAGAAAGCAACTGGAAGGCAAGGTTTTCCATTTGCTGGACGGCCGCCCAGTTGCTCGGTCCGTCAGTACGCTAGTGAGAAGTTAGCTGCGGAACGAGGTTAAGCGTCTTTGCTTTGTAGGCTACCACAACATGTTTGTTCCCTGCTCGTGTGGACAGCACGGTCTGCGATCTGACTATTTATCTCTATCTCCCGCCCGCTTAAACCGTGGGCATACGCATGAACGAACGAATGAGCGCAGAAACAATGAAACTGTAGGTCGAGCCCAAGGAACGTTCGATCCACTGCAGCTGTTGCCGTTGCCAGTACTGCAAACGGCCCGCGAATCGCACAACCTAGCCTGGTCGCAAACTGGAGGGCGGTAGGAAAACAGGGTTTTGTCTGACGCTGCCGCCGCCATGCAAGTACAAGTTGCTGCTGCAATTAGGCCTAGCCGGTCAGGCGATCCGACTTTGCTAACCCAGTAGCCAAGCAAGCAACGAGCTGCTGTGCAACGCCGCACCGAGTTGGTTCGACTCGCTCGAGTGGACGTGAATCCAAGCAAGCGGTACCGACAACCAATGTCTACCGACGATCCACGATTATGACGAGGGTTGCGGCGACAACACGCACAGCACCGCCCCTGCTCAGGCCGATCCCGAATTTTCAACGCTGTTTTGGCTACATCCAGTTTTGCTCAGCTTTGGCTGACCAGGTTTGTTCGTTGTGGTATCTTCCAAAGCACAGTACTGATGTAGATTCCGAGTGGCCTCTGTCCGTCGGAAGTCAGCCGAGGAGAGCCCTCAGGAACATGACATGGCCATGTTCAAATCCAACATCTCTGCCGTTTCATTTTATAGCCCATAGTTTTCCTTCTCTTTCATCTCCACTTATTATGGTCGCCCAGTCGCTTCCTTCACACAGCAAATGTCTCATGTCGCCAGCAGCCGCTTAGTTTGTTGCCCTTGTAGCCTCTTCTATTCCCACTTTTTCGGCCTCTCTTATCGCCGTATCCAAGCTGCTGTCTCTGAGACCTAGGACGGAGCCGGCCCGTTATTCCTTGTTGGCAGCCTGCTGCCGGCTTCCTGAAGCTACTGCTACCGCCGGTGCAGCCCCTTCTGCCGTCATCATTACTGTTCCAACGTAACGGACAGGAGACTAGACCTTAATTCTTACGTCGACCGTGTTCTGCTCGCACAGGCCGGCAGAACCGAATTGCTCGCTTGCGCAAGTATGCCATGTGTATTTTTTACGTACATTTCCCCTAGTCTTCCTCCTTTCCATCTTTCTTTCTCGCTCGCTCTTTCGTTTTCTTCATCTTGTCCAAAGCCTATCCTCTTTATTCGCTTCTTCGTGGACCCTGCGGTTGTCGTCGAAGTCCAGTGAGTCGTCACTCTCCATTGGCATCATCGTCCATTATCGTTCGCTCGTCTTTCAAAACTGTTGGACCAAATAGGAAATTACCCAATGACTCTACGCGGTAGATTCTTTTACCTTGATCTCCAACTTAGTTTTCTATCAGATTCTGCTAGCGATCCCATGCAGCTAGACTGTGCCGCTCTAAAAAATCGTAGGCGATCCCGCCCTAGTGAATTAGAGCTGGACTAACTGGTGAAGAAGGGGAGATAACTTTATGACGTCGAATGAACATTAATGTACCACACTTAATCTCTAGAAAAGCTAATAATTTGTGACGCGGCGTAATTCGAAAGGACAGATTCAAGCGTGCTTATGTAGATCCGACTGTAAGTTTTGAATAATAGAAACCTGATGTTGTCTTGGAAACCATAACAAAGGAGGCAGCAGACGACGGCTTTAGGATGCCTTTACGGCAATTTATTAGCCAAGTAGTTCAACATCACAAATTTTTAAATTCTAAGTAGGCATGTTTAATAAAACAATAACCGTTCGTTATTGAAGTAAATTGTATTGTTTTTCATTCATTTATTCTAGTTTTAAATTGTACTAATTAAATCTTAATTTTATCAATTAAAGAATTATGCAAACGTTTTTCAAAGCGATTGTTGTTGCTCTCATAAAAGTTATGCCCATGTATGCATGGCAAATAAAATCAACAAACGCAATACGGAGAGGACCTCTGAACAAGATGCGCATCGAGTTCAACTTACATCGTCAGTTTTTTAATTTAACTCGGTTCCGTGCTAACTTTTTGACTCAAAACATCTCTTTTCTCTCCTTAGCATATAAATGAACTAGTCTATTCATTGTCTGCGGAGGCCTTCAAAAGCTGAAAGTCTAGGCGAAGCCTAAACGTTGTTATTAAGAACTTTTCATCAGTGTTTCTTCAGCTCTTCATAGTTTTCTCACAACCCTTGTTAACATTCAGCACCATTATTGGCTAATGCAAAACATTACCGTTGCTATAGAAAGTACCTAAAATTATTCTACATCAGTTTTTGCCGTTAATCATTTCTTCAGAAAACAGCTGTCATATTTACCCGTATTTACTTATCATGTGGAGAAAAAATAAAGACAAAGAGGGATTAGAAACCTAAGTATTGTAAAAACGTTACATGTAAAGGTTGATCAACTTTATGCAACGAAAAAATTTACAGGGATGGATATTCTTTGCCAATATTAGCCGTATATGAGGCAGTACTTACAAGCGTTATTGTCAAGATCGAGAACTGCGGGTGTGACACACTCGTAGTCTGGCTGTGCGCGCGGTGGTTTCTGTGGGGGTATATCCTCGGCTGCTTCGGCTGCTTTCAGCGGTTCTACTTCGCCACTGAAATATTCACATGATTAGTTTATGCAACAATTGTCAAAAAATTACCTAAGCGTGTCCAAGAAGGATTTCGTGACAAAGAACCCTTATGCATAAAGTTTTGTCGTTTCAATTAGCTAGCCATTGTCATTATTGGCCACAAAGCAATGAATAATCATTGCATCGATTTAATAATAAGTCGAATTCTTCCCCTAACAAAGCATATTTGTAGCATAAACTGCATGTTCGTGGCTTCCCTACGTACGGTCAGTCCGTATCTGCGGCACGGGCATCTATCATTGTACAAACATTTTTACGGGTCGATTTATGTCGGTAAACAACCTGACAACAAACAACTAATCAAAACCTAGCCTATATCCAGTAGCAAAAGAACGAACGCCAACACTAGAAGCAGGTAGGTGGCCAGCCTTTTGAGAAGTTTCAGTTTGCCTTTGTAGCCCTTACAGCGTCTGCAGCCACAGGTTATTCGTCATTAGAGATATATGTCACTTTCGCTCAGGAAAAGCCACATGTCTAGCGACGTTGCAGCGGCATAAGCAGTGCCAGCATCAAAAGGTTGCGCGAGTGAACGCGCATCAAATTTCGAAATCGGCTAGCGCCATTATTGCAGCTGCAGCAGCGACGTGTCGGTTCGATGCGGCACCAATCGTACGGTTAGAAATGAAGACCGCTTCTGCCAGCAAACTGTCAAAAACACGAGGGTAAGAAAGAGGGTGACATCATCAACGACCTATTACTGTGACACTGACGACAATAACAACCAGCCACTACTTGACTACCTGCGCATAGTCGTTACGGCGCATCGTGCAGGGCTAGTAGAAGCGCAAAGAGTGGAATCATATAAGTACACAGGCGAATTCCTAATTTCCGGACCCCTCTTTTTCCATGTCTATTTTCCACGCATATTGCTGTGTTTCCGCTAGCCGCTGTCAGAATTCTCACGAACTCGACGAGCGGTTCATGTCAGTGTTTGCTAACTGCATGTTTTATTCAAAACTGGCACTCGGAAAATTGTAGATTTACGACAATCGGCTTGTTTTTCTGTTGTTCTCTCTCAGTAATGGATACCTCCCTCGGACACATAAAAGGAACAAAAGGCATTTGGGGAAAAGGAATGGAGAAAGGGGAGTGGAGAAAGACTACGACGAGAAAGATAGAGAGCGTGCATGACGGGGACCAGGACAATGTTGGAATGATGCCGCTTTGGGGCATCGTGTAACGTATAAGTGGCGTCGACAGTAGGCGCAGTAGGAACCGGGCATTCGCGATGTTTGCATTAGAATGCAGTGTTTAAAAAACAAAAGAGAATTCGATGCCAAACGGCCGGTAAACAGACAGAGTGTAGCGTATTCGTGTGTGACGCCAACACGATCGTCGTTTGACAGCTATTAGAAATGGTTCGATAGACTTGCGATAAAGAGCATACGTAAACATGGACAACGAACACACAAAAAAGAATGGAAGCAAAGCGATAAAGCTGGATGAATACCTGAGGTCATAAAATAGTACACTTACTATTCTAGTAAGCTGTTATTTCTAGGGGCGCATGTTTATACCCCAAGTGTACGGGTTCTCTTTTTGTTCTACAAACGTTGGCTTTTAAGGACTTACTGCCAAAACAAAGACACGTTGCAAAATAGTGATAGTGAGCCGAATCGACTTCCATTACCTCATATCAAAGTACGCATCAGATTAAATCAAACCCGATCCGTATTCTGCGTACGGCGCTGCTGAATTTCTCAAAAGGCGGACATCGATGATCGAAAATCGCGAGTGCTTCGAATACAATGGTGCCTTGACAAGCGGATTAGAGGATGAAAATAACGAGATAAAAAGCAGAAGGGTAAGTCTATGGTATATCGAATTTCAGATAAATCGCTTGTATCAGACGAAGGGGGTATACAGTGCATACAGGCGTACCTGTTCACACAACTATTACTTCAAATAACAAGGCACGCATATTAGCTCGGTCTACAATTAGAACTACAGTCGTTATGTGTTCCACTGTTGTTGTGCATATAGTGTTTGTCATTATATCTCAATGGCCATTTTAAAAATGCATTTAGTCATTTGTATGCTAGACCGGAAGAGGTCGTTTAGAAAAGACCTGCCAAAATAGCTGAATAAATAATAATTAAAGTTGCTATGAGCAGACGGTTCAGTCGATGCTTTGTACTAAGCTGTTTTCTTTTACGACAGTTTTTTGTGCCGAAAAACTGACGGTGTCGATCTATTGCTTAGGAACACCTGAATGTTTGTTCTTCATTCCCGCGTCCAGTAGCTGACTGGGCATTTCAGTCACTACGCGTCCTTCAGTAAACACAAAAAGCCACCCACTCTGTTCAAGGTCGTCTGGTTGACATAAATGTCATTGCTGTCAATTGAAAATGATGAGCATCAGCCATCTTTTGTTGCTTTGGCTCCGTTTACGTGATGCTACCGAGCTATTGTATCATAGAAAATGCATATCACTATACCAGAGAAACTCGATGCGTAGGCGATTAGAGCTTCCATGAGCTACTTAGATGATATTTTAACTATGTCGTGTCCATTGCGTTTTAAGCGAAGGCCATAGGCGTTCATGTAAATTTGAAGAAATTCAAAATTTATTTCCTTACTAGTCGCCTGGTTACCTGTTGAAGGGTTCGAAGCGACAAGCTAAATGGGCCTTAGAATAACTAGAAGCTAAGGAGAAAAAAAAACTAGAGAAGGTAGCTACAAATTGAGAAAGCATGTTATAAGGGGGACTCTGCTTCTTCAACGCAGTGTTAAAGGTCGGCAGTCAATTATTACGTTGAGAAAATTGCGTTGAAAAAAAAACCGCTCTTATGTGGGTGGCTGGATTTTCATGTCTTCAATAGAATCCACTTTAGATCCGTTCTAGAGTCTATTTGCCAATACGTAGTAGCACTGATTGGGCAATGCCTCATCTCATGTGGCACTCGATCCTGTTCTCAAATGGATCGAACTTATGCCTTTGATCGTCATCATTCTTACCTCACTCGTCGAATACTTGGAGAACGTATACTTTGATATCGCTCAATCAGTGAAAATCTGACTTCGATTCGGTACGATATCCCGCAATGTTGTTCAGACCTGATATCAAACTCTACAGGTACGCTTCATGTTAATTGTATCATTAGCGGAGTATCAAATCGCAAATAGTACACAATATATGAAGAAGCATAACCACTGCAAAGGTGTAGCCGTTCTAGCCCACTTCGAAACTCGTGACCTACCAATTTGACGCGAGAAACCTAAACCTCGATGAGGCAATAAGTTTTCTGTCAAAGTAAATGCTGATACAAACTAGATACAGATGTTACAGCGATATCGACAGAAACTGCGATGAAGTCTGCCGTAAGCGGAGAAGTAGGCTAAAATAAACGCATAGTCGGTTAATGTAGTCAGCGTGCGAGCGCATAGCCGTCACATGATCAAGAGCGGTTTCAGTCTGCTTCTAGTGATATCAATGTCCACCGCTTTCTAATAGCTATAGATGTAGTGGCGGCTGTAAAAAGGGAAGCAAGTCCTAAAGGAGAGCATCAGGCTAACTCCAATGTTGCCGCACTGTTTTCGTATCCTTTCCGCGTCTAGTGGTGTCCATTCATTATACTGTAGGCAGCCGAAATTCTAGCCAACTTCTAAGGAAAGAGCAGGCAAAGAAAATACAGAGATAGGTGAACAACGGACGCTGAAGAAGGATGCGAAAGAAGTTCTTATCGGAACATCGGTAGGAGCTAGCAGAAACGAGCCGGGAACGGTCATACTTCTCTGATTGCTTGGTCTCACGGTATCGCAACACATTCCACACTGTAGACCATATAAATAGCAACTAAATGCTTTATTTGACCATCTATACAACCGAATTGCAGAAAAAATAGCCGGCAAAAGGGAATATCACTTCGTACAAGCCACTATGTTTCCTTTACACCGCCTCCTGGGTAGTACAAAGTACCACACGATGTAGAGTAGAACAAGAGAGAGAGAGAAACCGAGAGATAACGAAACGACAAGAGAAAGTGGGCCTGAGGATGCTAATGACGGACCTACGAAGGGAGGATCCTAAAATGACATAATTGGCCTATTTATAATATTATGCCCTTTAATTGAAAGCTTACACGAGTACGGTGAACCGTTGTCCGAACTGCTGACCATAGATAAATGACTTTGACGCTCTAACATTCATGTGGTCCTTCCTTCTTTATCAATTCGATTTCACTGTCACTCAGCCGTTATGCTCCGATCGATAACGCCTGTTACTGGCTGGGTTTGATGTTGAGACATCCATTAAACCTTAAGTCGCCCTTGTAGTATCACGCCTTATATCTGAACAACAACCTGCTAACGACCAAGTGATGGCGATCTTGGGCCTTGTGATGTTTCCTGCTGCTATCTGCAATGTCAAGCCTGGCAGGAAGAGGGCCACGTTATGCAGCAGTGGCGCAGGGAAAGTGGAAGCCTGGTACGTGCAAATGTGCGGGTGACGACCAGTCCCTCCAATGAACCTAGTCAAAATCACGACCCATTCCCTCATCACTCCGCTTTCATATTATATAATTATCCATATTAATTATACTCTACTAGCTAATGAAAGAGAATTTCCATATTCGATTAGCTGATCATTTCCTAGAGATGGCCAACACGAGACAAGCTTGAGCATTTGCACTGCTGCCTTAACCACAGCTTGCCTGGTAAACGACTCGCGGTCCACCCATCATAAATCGACAGCCCAGATGCATACGGGGAGTCCGCACCGGCAGCGCTTCCTTCAGCACCGCAAAATGTGTCCATAGATCTTGTCAGCGTTGTCATATTGTAAGCACACACTCAGACTTGACCAAGTACCCCATTGGGGACCAAAAAGAGGAATTGATATGATATAGAATAAAGTACCACAAAAGCCCGATCAAAACAGTTTAGTCAACCCATTTCTTTTGATAAAGAGTCTAGTGGCGACGATGGCGCAAACGTAACGGCAGCAAGGGACGATAGGACAA